GCATCAAAGGGAGATGTACAGTCTCAAACCTGTGATATATTGATTCACGTGTATCTGTGTATAAACACAAGTGTGCATGTGTGAGTGTGCATGTGGGAGGGATGTGCAAAAAGAAAGAGACAAAAAGAGACAGGCAGAAAGAGAGATAAGAAAGAGAGAATCTATATAAATTATTTTTAACCCTTTCATTTCCTTTTGACCAATTACCTTCTCTTACATCTTTTTTCTTTATGAACAAAATGCACCACACAGGTTGTATCTATTTCTAGGCAGCACCTGGAGTATCACTAATATTTGGAATTAATATATTTTTAAATTATTTTGTAAGAACCTGTATATCATATCAACTAGATTTTCAAAGGTCATATTTTCCATATTTACTTAAAAAGACATTCTGTTGCCCAGTGACAACGCTTTAAGCTTTTCCTGAATCTTCTACAGCTCAAAATGAACTTGCTGTTGCCTCTCCAACAAAACAGCCCTCCGTTTTAAGAGGTAACATTAACCCACATAAAGATTCTTATTTCAATTGGGACCTTGGGGTTGAAATCCCACTTCAGAAGAAAAAATTAAAAAGTCAAACCATCAAACACAAAGTCAAAAAGTGTCTGCCTTTTATCCACAGAGAAGGCCCCAGGGCATGTTCAGAATGAGCCAAAGGGTGAGTGAGTTTCACTCAAAGGCCTCAGGGATCTGCTTCTGGGAAGGAAGGAAAATGGGTAACTGATGTAAGCCTAGAACTTGCAGCCTGACTCAGTGATTGCACTAAAGGAAAAAGGGGTAGGGGAAAAAAAAGACCCTCTACATAGAATTTTACAGAGAAAGTTCAACTAAAGTGCAAGATAGCACATTGTAATTTTGTAGGGAAAATGAGGCCAAAAGGAAAATTAACCTTTGAGTCATCTTTGATTGTTGTTTTTTTTTTTTTTAAAGTACATATTCCAATCTATATGTGTTATCTACTGATTAAAATAAACTTGTATTCTACAGTGTGGATGTTGATGAAAACAAGCATGGTGGTGTCCATGCACTATTAGGGGTTTTTTTTAAGAATCATTTCAATGAGAAGGTTAAAAACATGTTTTCTACTCTACACAGGAAAGGAAAGAACTGGTTTACTCATTATAATCATCAATTAATCACCAATGCTAGCTGCCCAGACTCAGAAAATTAGCACAATGGGGTTTTTCTAGAGTCCAAAGCAAGTTTAGATCTTTCTCATGAGGAAAAGGGTGAGAAAGAAAAACTCAAGCCTGGTTCTCTGGGCTCAGAGACCAAGCTGCGCTCTCATTGGTGTTACCCAAGTCTATGAAGAAACAGACCTGAAAAGAAAACCCATCTACACACACGAAAGAGGCACAGCCATTTACTAAGAACTCTCCACTTCGACACAATTTCCTAAGCTCATCAAGTAATAATGATCATCTCACTTGGAGTCACTGATACTCATTGCAGCTATTTCTCCTGCACCCCCCTCATGACTCCTCACCATAAACTAATAAAGCTACCACCCACTCCATTTTACAGACAAGAAAACCGAGGCCACTAAAGGTAGATGGTTTGCCCAAGGTCACACAGCGAGTAGGTCACAGATCAGAGGTTCAAACCCAGCTCTACATGACTCCAGCCCCACACTACAAGTTCTGATGGCTCCATCATTGTCTCCCTATTTTTATTGAAGTGATTTCCTTTATTAAAAAAAAAGTTTTTCTCTCTGCCAAACTGCCAACGCTTCCTGGGGTAAGAGTCTAGTTCATCCAAAGACTTGTCTTAATTACGATGACGGCACTAATGAAGGTTCTACGCTCCTCTAGAGAATGCTAGAGGGAAGTCTGCTTGCTGAACTGAGGCGAGCCTCACTGGAATCCAGAATTGAGGCCTTTTCAGATTCAGATTCAGGGATTCTCAGTCAGCAGAGACAGTCCTACACTGAGACAAGTCCTACCTCACAGAGGGAGGTTTTAAGCGAAAATGGGGAGCTATGTGGTAGTCAAGCTGGACTTTTGTCCTCTAGCACACCACAAAGCGAGACCATCCATTCTTATGCTCTGCTGAGCACACAGAAACCATATTCTCCACACTTTATGGACTTTCTGCTCTCAGCCCAGACCAGCATCCCCACGACAGGACAGCAGGACGGCTCAGAGCCTTCCCTGTTAAGGATCACCCTATACGCCTCCTGCCCAAGAATGGGAGACCACACCCTCTTCCCATGGCTACTGTGGAATGGATCCCCCCCACCCTAGCGTTTAGCTGGGAACACGGCTACTGATACGGGCATTACTTTGCCCCCACAGTCGCGTGCAGCTGGGGGTGGGTATGGGCTTCAGCTTTAGCTAACACCAACAGGCAGACATACTCGCAGCAACTTCCGCCAGTGACGGCAAGCAAGTGTCCTTTGCCTTCCTTTTTCCTACCCTCCTTCCTACCGGCTGATACAAGGATGCCATGGCTGGTCTAGCGTCCTTCTTAGACCATGAGGTAACTGTTGATCCCGGCATGGTAGAACCAAAAACCGAAAACCCAGGGAACCCAGGGCCCTGGCCTCTGTGCTCTGGCTTAGATAAGAGAATAAAGCCTTACATATTTTCTACAAAATGTGGATCCCGTTTTCATCAGATTCACTGTCAGAGGAAATAGAGGCAACCCGAACTACTCAGCTAAGGAATTTCTCCAGGGTTCCAAAATCAGTCCCAAATCACTCTGAGCATATCTGAGGATGACCTGTCCCCCTCCCTGGGTATCCCCACCGTAAACCTCTCAATTTCAGGGGCTGCCAGTCTGCCCCATCCCATCCTGTGCTCCTTCCCACTCCAGCCCAACTGGAACACACTGCCAAAGAAGTGACACAGAGTGACCAGTGTCACAGGTAAGACTGACTCTCACCTTCAGAGGCCATCTTCTCTCACACCAGCTGCCCCACGATTGGGGCTTGGGGAAAATCGTAAGAGCTGGTGCTTTCTGAGTGCTTGCTGGTGCCACACTCAGGTCCAAGCATCTAATAGATTGCAACAAGTGTGAGCACTCAGTAACTCTGAAAGACGTGCACTGTTACTAGACCCATTCCACAGATTGGCAACCTGAGGTACAGAGAGGCTAAGTGACATCGCTGGGAAGGCCCAAAGCTCCTGGCCCACCTGTAGCCTGGGCACAGGACCCCTAATCTACACTGCCTCTTGGGGAAAGAAGAAGAAAGATAGTTTTAAAAGAAAGCACACCTCCCTCTAAAGGGGCCATATTTCATTGCAAACCTTAATTCTGCTTTATTTTCCTACAGCAGAAAATTCCTGCCATCTTCTGAGTTTTGAAAAAAAGGATCTCCTGCTTCAGATGTGTCACCACCTGCACATTTCAGAACCCGACCTCTAACAGACAACAGGTGCATAGGAGAGAAAATGGTCAAAAATCACCCTGACCTCAGCATGAGACAAAGACTGAAACAAATCATGGAAGCGAAAGGCAGCCTCAAAGATAGTCTACACATTTCATTCCTTCCATTCCAGCACCAACACACCACTGGAAAACTCTGCTTGAGAGGTCAGACAAAGTTCTAGAAAACAGTGCAACTGTCTGTACGGGGACCTAGGTTGTTGCCACTTACAGGAATGTGGGGAGTCCTCCAGGGCAGTGCATGAAACTGAGGCTCTAAATTTGGCTAAGATGGCTGGGCGGGTACATCAGACACACTGGCAGAGCCAGCCCAGCCCCGGGTCTCAGGTAGGAGGGTGCAGGAGTCTCAGAAGACAGTGGTGGCAGCACGAGCATTCTGCACAGCTGACAAGGCCACCCACGCTCACCAGGGATCACTTTACCTTTCCCTGGAGGTGGAGGTGCTACAAAAAAACCATCAGTCGGTGCTAAGTCATATCTCAGACTCCCTCACACTCAAACGCTTTCTTTTTCTGATCTAAACTCAGCTCATCAGGGTGGTCAACTTGCCCCTCAGACACAACCCAGAAAAGTGACATTTCTGACCAAAGTTAACCAGGCCTACCCTAAAATTGAAAGGAAAACCAAAAGCCTTTGCATCTCACAGGCTGCAAACAAATGCCCACTGGGGCCAGGAATGGGTGAAGCAGGCCTCCCCATTTGGGATAAAATGAGAAAAAATGGTAACTGGGTGCTCTGTCTATGAATACAGGTGCTCTCAGCTCCAAACAGCAGAGTGGGGCTGAGATGCAGCAAAGTTGAAGTTGGAAATTCAGAGGTGTACGTGAAGTCTTCCTGTTCTAAAATGTTGATGCCAATTCAAAAAATGTTTAAGGACTATAAGGGTTATTTGGCCCCCAAGAGCCAGTCTGCAACCAGAGATAGCCAAGAACACCTGACGCCTGATGAAGCCTCGCCATCAGGTGGGCCTCCCTGGTGAAGCTCAAGGATTTCAAACCAGATGCAAGAACCCAGGTAACCAGTCCCTTGGCGCCCTTCCTGTAACCAGCTAGCAGACAGAAGGGGCGGTGTAAATCAGGGTCTGAGATGCAACCCATCTGGAACATCTTCCAAAGAACGAGGAGGCACAGGGGAAAATCACAGTGGCCTTTATAGGGGGTTGCACCATGTTTCTAGCCAGCAACCACCTGTGGAGACCCCTTTCAGGCAGGGGAAGAGGCAGAGCTGCAGAGTGTGGCATGAGGCGGGCGGCGGGTGAGCAGATGCGGGAAGGTCTCTGAGAAGACACCTCCTCCTCCAGAAGCAGCACTGGCCATGCCAGGCAGGCAGGTTCCATGCTGACTTGCCGCTTGACTCTCCGTGCTGGGAAGGGAGGAAGGGTCGAAGCACTCCTGGTACCCAGGGCCTCCGGGTCCAGGGGCCTCTCCTGGAGGGGCATCAGGGCCCCGGCACACAACACCTTAAAGGCCCCTTCTGTGCTGATCAAACCTAGCCCGGGAGGTCACCCTGACAGGCGTACTTCCTTCTCTCTGCTTAACTCAGATACTTCCAGAAAGTCTTATCGCCATCTCTTCCCCCACACACAGCATCCCCAAAGCCCCACAGCCTACCTTGGCACTGGAATCCTTGCTTCCCGAAGCCCCTGCAAAGGCAGAAGGAGGCTCGTCAGGCAGCCCGAGGGGCCCAGCCATCAGCTAGTTCCCCACAGAGTCCCCCCTGGCCCTGCCCCTCTACCCCAGGTGCAGCCTCCCAGCCACAGGCGGGTGCCCCAGCCTTCCGCCCGCGGGGGAGGGGGCAGAGTGGGGAGCTCGGCGGCAACTCCCACCTCCCCTCCGAAGGCCGAGGAGCGGAGGCCGCGACCACCAGGTGGCGAGGTGGGGGGAGCGTTTCCGTGGGAGTGGTGGGGGCGCAGGGCGGGGTGGGGGGCGATCCGCCCCTGAGATGCCCGAGGACCCTCGGGGAAAGGGACGGGATGAAGCTGCAGCCAGACGGCGGGCGAGAGACCCCGCGGCGAGGAGGGTCCTCGGGGGCCAGGAAGGCGGCGACGACTCCCCGCACTTGGAGGGGCAGGGTGGGGGCGGGGGAGCAGGTGCCCGCAGTGCCGCGAGGGGCAAGACCGAGGGGCGCACAGGGAGCCCAGACCCTCAAGGAAGGGCGAAAGGAGAACACACAGCCTCGCCCCCTCCGCCCCCCGACACGGAGAAGGCGGAGACGATGCCCCCGGCCCGCAGAGAGACAGCAAGGACACCCGGGCGCTGCCCCCGGGAAAGCGGGGACGGGGGTGCGGGCGCCTGCACCCCGGAAGGAGGCGGAGAGAGAGGGGAGCCCGGGCGAGAGGGCGCTGGGGGCGCTGCCCTCCCGGGGGGACCGACTCCCCGCGCCCGCGCCCAGGTGCACGAGAGGCGCCCGCGCGGCTGCCCCGGGCGCTCCGGAGGCGGCTGGAAGGAAGAGGGGACCGGAGGCGCCTCGGGGCGCCCGTCTGGGGCCGCGGGTGGAGGGAGCCCTCAGGACCGTCCGGGGCAGAGGGAGCGCGGAGCCGCGCGCGCAGGGGCCGGCGGGGCCGCTGCTCCCCGGGGGCGCAGAGGGGGCTCCCCGCGCGCGGCGCAGCCCTCGGGTCCCGGGAAGGTGCCCGCGCGGGCGCGCTCACCAGATGAAGTCGGTGCAGTGGCTGCAGAAGGTGGGCTGCTTGAAGAAGCGGGCGGTGAATTTGTGGTTCTTCACCTCGTGCACGTTCTTCTGCCGGAGGGCGCCTTTGCGGGCGAAGCGCACGGTGCTCTCCTCGCCCTCGCCCGGCGGCGGCCCCGCAGCCGGGTCAGCCATCTTGCGCGCGGGGAGCGGGAGCCGAGAGGTGCCGGCCCCGGGGCCGCGGGCCGCGGGCTGCGGGCCCGGGAGGCGCGAAGGGAGGCGGCCGCTGCTGCCGCCCGGGGCCGCGGGCGCTTCCCTGCGCCGGCTCGAGCGGCCGCGGCGCGCGGAGCCGGGGCTGTCACTCGCCCAGCTGCCGCCGCTCGTCCAGCTGCGCTTGGCACCGCTGGCCCCAGCTGCGGGGGAGGGAGGCGGAGCCCGGCCAGGCCCCGCCTCCCTCATTTGCATCGCGCCCAGGCCCCGCCCAGCGCCGCCAGCTGCTTTACATATTGGCACCCCGAGGCTGCTGGTCTCCAGCTCAGGGTTCCCCGCCGCAGCGCTGCGGCGCGGGGATCGCAGCCTGCGGGCCTCAGACCCGAGGCGCACCCCCCCGCCCCGTCTTCGGCCCCGGGCTGCGTGAAGAGAGGAGCACCTCGGGTGCGCCCCAGGGAAAACGAGGGGGGAAGCACCAACCCGGACCGAGGGGTGGGGGTGGGGGTGGACGCGACGGATTCCGCCCGATCCTCTGCAGAGACGGGTGCCCATCCACCCCCTCTATCCCATTGGTCATTCTGCGCATCTTCTGGAGGGATGGGCTCCCGCTGTCACTCATTTGGAAAGGCCTGTGGCTCCACACACTTACACACAGACGCACACACGTACTGCAGAGGTGGAGGAGGAATCTTTATTTTATATATACCTCTAACTCCACCACAAGGACAAGTCTTGGTTGTGCTTGTCTCACTATTTAGGAAAGAACTTCCTACCTTCTGCCCATGCCCTCACAGAGGCTCAGTTTCCTGGACTGCAAAATGGGGCTAATAAGGAAGGAGGGTGAGGGTGCAATAGGGCGGTATTTCCTCAGCTTTCATCATTCCAGACCCTCTGACGAACTCTGTTCACATGTGCACACCATTTAAAAAAATAAGTCTGGTTTCTGAGTTTGAATAGCAAGAGATATCCATGTATTAAAACCTCTCCAGATGCTGTCACCGGCCCAAAATATGTGCATGTGAGGCCTTCTTTTAATTTGTTGAGACAGGAGATTAAAAAATGGTGAAGAGGTGATAAAGACACTAACATCCAACAGGACCTCCCTCCTTTACAGAACCTGAAGAGTGGAGGGCCTCCAATGAATACTTGTCTGGACAACTGAAGTCACCAGGCTTGGTGCCCTGTCCACACATAGCAGCTACGCCCCTCTCTCTGGAAACCGCACTGCACTGGACTAGAGACTCCACTAGATTTAAGTTGTGTTCGCTGCGTGTGACCCAGCACCAAGCTCAGAGCCAGACCTCCCTAAGAGTTCAGTAAGCATTGGTTGAATGAGTGATTGGGTAAACAAGGGAGTGAATGAAAACTGAAAGGGCTGCACCCCTACCCTCCACCCTGCTCAGCAGGTATAATAATAAGCATCAGGTACCAGAGGGGTGTCAGGTCCTTGCTGTTTTATTTAGTTCTCCCAACAACCATAGGTTGGCCTGTTAACCTTCATTATCGACAAAGATGTGAAGCTCAGAGAGACTAAGATAAATGCCCAACGCCACACTGCTGTTGAAGGGCGCACAGGCCTACCTACAAAGCACTCAGGTGATAAAGAAGTAAAGGGATGCAGGGCGGAATAGAACCAGGCTCACTGAACTTCTGCCTAAACTCAGGTGCCATCATGAAGATTTTGGCTGGAAGCTGCTGAGTGGTAAGTCATTATTAGGTGGCATGTGGAGCTCCATGGCTGTAATAATAGACTGTCCCTCCCCTGCATAGTGATTCAAAGGTAACTAGGAAAAAATAGCATTCACTTTTAAGGTTGACATGTTTGGGAAACTGGACGTGCCTGTCTATTATTAGTCCTCAGAGGCCCCATCACCTCCCAGAGAGGCTTGGGAAAACATCCCAGGAGACATTGCTGCTGCAGTAGATTTCCTTTGAACCGATGAGCTGGAAGCTAACAACCCACATCCTGCCTTTTGAACCAAGTGCCCTGGCTGACTTTGGTCTGTAACAACAAACAGTACTTCACGGGGCCTGGGCCTGGGGGGTGCAAGGGCTGGTGGATCCCAAAGAATCACTCCTTTCCTTGAGGGGCCACATCTTCTGAAAATGGGGAACACAGTTCCCATTGGACCCAGATCCCTGTACAGCAGGAGGTTCAAACCGCTGGTCCTTGGATACATTCATTTTTTTTAGCCAGTACAGAGAATTTTTTTGGCTCACATTTGGTAGAATTTTACCTAAATCTCCAGATTCTGATTTCTCTAAGATAAAAAAGAGATTGCTGCATGGACCCTGCATCCCTCCACTCGCTCAGACATTTGTTCATTCATGCAACTATGAATTTATTGAGGACCTGCTCTGTGCTGTTCTACACAAAACAGTCAAAAGTCCCTGCTTTCATGGAGCTTGCAGTCTAATGGGAAAGAAGAACAATGACCTAATAAACTAACAAATCTGTACCAGGTGACTGTAAAGAAGATATAAAGCATGGTAAAGAATAAAGAGCGACATTGGTGGGGAAATCGTTTATGATAGGGGGACATCAAAGCAAAGACCTAAATGAAATGAGGGGGTGAGCCATGGGGCCATCTGAGAGTAGAAAGTGTGAACAGGGGAAACAGCAAGTTTTTCTTGCAAAGGACCTGGAACGCGCTTGGCATGGTGGAGAAGCAGCAAGGAGGCCTCCGTGCCTGGAGTGGAGAGAGAGGAGAGAAAAGGAACAAGACAGGTTGGTAAGGCAGTAGGGCCACATTATAGACCAGGGAAAGAGTTTGAATTTCACTCTAGTGAATGGAAGCCACTGGAATGTTGGAAACAGAGAGGTGAGCTGATGTGACTTAAGGTTTGTTTGTTTGTTTGTTAGTTACCTGACTATGCTGTGAAAAATAGATTCTTGAGGAGAAAGGACAGAAATGGGGAGAACAATTGAGGTCATTTGAGTAGATGAGGCAAAAGATAAAGGCGGGGCCTCCCTGGCGGTGCAGCGGGTTGAGTACAGTGCTGTGAAGCTGTCTGCAGACTCTGCAGTACCAGTTCGATTCCTAGCCAGCCAGGGAGATTCCCACATGGCGCGGCAGGCCTCTCCTGTCTCGCCCGCTGCTCCCCTCAGCAGTGTATTCGTCATTCTGCCTGTTCTGTTCCCCACTCTGTCTCTGGTGAATTCTCTCACCCTCCCGTACCTCTGGCCTGTAGCCCAGTGCTTGTATAAATAAATAAATCTTTAAAATAAAATTAAATTAAAAAAAAAAGAAAGGCAATATGGCATGGTGGCCACATGAAGCTAAAGGGCAGTGAACCCTACAGGCTGGACCCACTAGTCACAAGAACCCCCATGGGGTCCACACTGCATATAAAGAAATGAGGTGACAAGGAGGCACGTTGCTCGGACTGAGGGTCCAAGGTCTCTTTAGTCCATCTTTCAAAGTTCCTCTGTATATTGCTTCCCTGCAGCTTCTATAGCAACTTATCACAACAGCAAGTGGCTAAAGGTAACAGAAATTTATTCTCTCAAAATTCTGTGGCCAGGGCCTCCCCGGTGGCGCAGCGGTTGAGCGCTGGGTTGCGAAGCTGCCCGCAGCCTCTGCAGCACCGGTTCGATCCCCGGCTGCTCCCCGGCCACCGGAGGAGGGTCCCACATGGCGCGCAGACCTCTCCTGCCACCCGCTGCTCCCCTCAGCAGTGTACTTCGGTCCTTCTGCCTGCTCTGCTCCCCGCTCTGGCTCTGGTGAATTCTCTCACCCTCCAGCGCTTCTGACTGTACCCAGTGCATGTATAAACAAACAAACAAATAAATAAAACATGCCTCTATAAAAAAAAAAGAAAAAGAAAAAGTTCTGTGGCCAGAAGATTGAAATCAGGGTGTCATAGGGCTTTACTCCCTCTGAAGGCTTTAAAGAAGGCTTTAAGAAGATCAATTGTTTGCCTTTTCCAAATTCTGGCTGTTGGCATTTCTTGGCTTATGGCCACATCCCTCCCATCTCTGCCTCTGTGTTCACATCAGCTTCTCTCTGTATGTCTGTTTTCTCTTCTGTTGAATGTCCTCAGTGTATCTCTTACAAGGACACTGGTGATTGGCTTTAGGGCTCACCAGATAATCTGGGGTGATGTCCACATCACAAGATCCTTAACTCAATGACATCTGCAGACTTTCTAAGTAAGAGAGCATTCATAAATTCCAAGAATTAAGACATGAACTTATCTTTTAGGGTATGGCCAATAATCAACCTACTACAGTGCTTAACCCTGGGGAAGTCACTTCTTCCTTCCATGTCTCATTTTCCTCCTTTGTAAAACACAGGCAGGGATATAGTAGTTCACCTTCCAAATTTGTCCTTGTAAGACTGTACTCTTCTGTGTAGTAGGCACTAGCCATCTGTGGTTACTAAGGAGTTGGAATGTAGTTAGTTTGAATTGAGATGTAGTTTCAAGTGCAAACTGCAACCTAAAATATCAAAAGGTATACAAAAGAATGTAAAGTATCTTATAAATAATTTTTATTGTCACTGCATGTTGAAATTAGATTTTGTATATATTGGGTTTAAATTAAACTTCTCACTGAAATTAACTTCACCTGTTCTTACATACTTTTTTAGTATTGGAACTGGTTTTTTTAATCATCTCCTTTTAATTTTTTTTTTGAGATCACATTGTTTACATTGTTATTTGTATTTTAGAAGTATAGGATCCCCCCATACAGGTATAGTTACCACAGCACATCCACCACCAAAACACCCACAGTCTACCAACATAGTCCATTGTGTTTTTTCAAATCTTTTAAAAATGGCTACTGGAAAATGTAAAATTTGGTATGTAGCTCACATTGTATGTTGGGGGGGCTACTCTTTCTAAAATATAGATTAAAATAATATTAAGTGAATTAATAAAAATAAGTGGATAATATAAATAAAAGCTGATCTCTATTCTATGTGTCACCAGCAGTGGTGGCTTGACTGGAGGCTGATGGCTCTGCTTTGAAGGTGCTCACTCATTAGGCTGCTAAGTTAGTGCTGATTGTCAGTTTATATCTCAGCCAGGACTTTGAACCAACAGCCTTGGTTCCTCTTTATGTGAGCTACTCCACCTATAGTTCAAGCTTCCTCATACCATGGGGGTTGAATTCCCAGAGTGAGTACCCCAAAAGACAGGAAGTAGAAGATGAAATTTTCTTAAAGTGTGA